CCCCAAAACCCCAAAACCCCAAAACCCCAAAACCCCAAAACCCCATATTTTTGGAATTCTGATTGTGTGGGTAGTAGTATAAATAAGAAAATAAAATGAAAGTTTAGATTAACTTAATATTATAATACAGTCTCATCTAAATAACTTTATAGAAATTTGAGAGATATAATATGGGATGCATAAACTCATAAAATATACAAAATTCAACTAAGGAAGTAAAACGCTATTTAACCCTTACATAAAGGATAATTCTCAACATTTAACAAGGAAATATGAGAAGATTAAGAGAGTTAATTCAAAATACTAATCAAGATGAGCTAGATTACTCCTTAATTTAAGGATACACAGGAGACCTTACGCTGGATTCGATGGAATTTTCAACGAATTCGTGGGGACCTGTCCTATTAGCCTTGTATTTTAATCAACTGCAGGTAGCAAAGTATTTTATGGAGGAAATTAAATTAAACCCAGCTATTTACTTAATAAAACCGATGACAGAAGAAGAATACCAATATACTTTGGCAATTAAGAGAGCGACAGATCGCCAAGATAAAAAGGAATACTCAAGATTTAAAAATAAACTTAATCGTTACAATAGAATTATAAGCTGGGTTATTGCATGCAAGCATGAAAATAAAATAATGCTTGAGTACTTACTTGAACATGATTATACAAAGAATATTTGGATGCGAAAAGATTTTTACACTTTTTTGCATTTTATTTCGAACAGCCTCAAAATATGGCTATTTGCACTTCCGATTATTATGTAAAGTTAGTTAGCCAAAAGATGGTTTTATTCGGAGAAGGAGATCAACAAATCTGATGTTTTTTATAGACTTCAGAGGTAGTTTAGCATTAAGATTCTGTTAGATGAAATGTTCTTTACACTTTAGGAGTAATTATCGAAACCCCCATATTCGACTGCATTTTTTATATCTCTGTCTAATCAAGAATATATAGATGACAAAGTGCCTGAGATAAACTAACTAAGATAATGCCTTCAAAATATTATTGAATTCGATTTCACAATGATTCATGAAGAAATCAATTACTTTCCCGAGTTAAAAGATCTGATAGTAAAGAGATTTGATCATGTTCATTCATATAAGATGCTCCTAAACGAATATTGCGAGAAGATTGATACTTATAACACTAATCTTTATCAAATCAATCAAGAGTTAGACTAAATATCAACTGCCATAATGAGGGAAGACATTCAATACCTGAGCTAGGCTTTTGCCAGACTAAGAATAGAAAACGTTAATTAAGTATAGTTAAGAGTTTAGATTAATGACAGAAGTTTTAACAATAGTAATATACTTACATTCGCTTTAATCAATAACAAGCCATAGGTCTTGGATTATCTTCTAGAAAATGATCTTATAGACATTTAGAGCTGTAGTAAGAATTCTCCAACAACTCTAAACTCACTAAGTTTAATGAAAGATAATTGCACGGCTGCTATTACTCATGGATCTAAGAGTCCTTCAACTAAGGAATGGGCAAATGCTCTTGAATAATCAAGAATGAAGTAAACTAATGGGTCTTATCTCACAGATGCCTAAACTACAATGTTTAATGAGAGTTTAAAATTTCCTAGTTAGTTGGATTTTAAGTCTCTTACGAATACCTAAGAAATAAAATTTAATGAAAGTATTTAGAGTTCTCCAATGAAATTCAATCCAAAAAAGAATAATATTACAAAGCCTTTAGAGTATCTAATCAAATTAAAAAACAAAGACTTGTTCCTTAAGTATTGGTCTAAATTTATGTATCAACTTGAATATCCTGACTTTAATAAACTACTTCTAAAGATCAATACCGAGATCAAATCAGATGATTGGTATAGATCTTTTCTGAATCATAACCAAACTAAAATCTTCTTCGAATAACTGAAACTTGCAGAGCAACTTGACTTTATTGAAAAAATCATAAATGCCTGTGATTTCTATTCAGCTTAGACAAATGATATTAATGCTCAAGATCTTGTATTAGAATCATTTAGAGAAAATTAACAACTAAATAAGTCAATTAATCATTTCCTACATTAAAATATGAGGAGTTAAAATACTTCAATTAATGCTTTATAGCCAAAGATCGCTGATGTGATAGATAATAACCAAAATACCCTTACATTATTATGACCTTCAACATTTGAAATAATGCTAGAAAAACCCTATGTGTAGGCTGTATTCCTATTTAGCTTTGTAAAATTTAAAAAAGACAAAAGATTACTCGAGCATGTCAAGAAGGGTAGTAAGTTAATTAATGCAAGATAAAAGCTTGAGCTTTTTGAAGAATATGAGGAGAAATTACAAAGAGTAGGTTTCCATATATTCAAGGAATCCCTGATTTCTACAAATAATTTTCATTTTCATGGAAGTAATTTAAATATTAATGTCGCTGTAAACTAGCCCTTGGACAGAAGAAATAGCTCTTTAATTAATGGCATCTCATACAACTAGATACCTTTTGAAAGATTCAAATCCTAAAATCCTCCTTTAATTGAATAAGAATCACTGCTTGATCCTGGAGAGTAAATAGAAAGAATATTCGAATAATTTTATGATCATATAACTAGCAGAGAATTTTTACTTCCTCATTAGAAAAATTTTCTAAATTATGAGCTATGCTAAATATGATGAGCTACAAAATTAAAAGAAAATTCATGAGCTTGTAAGCAAATATAAATAGTAAACCTTTTAAATATGTATTAATAAGAAGCTGAAGGAAAATAGATAAAAATGTTAAAAAGTATAATAATAAGATCGACATAAGTTAATGTATAACTCAATTAAACTTAAGATAATTAGAAGAAAAAAGTTTGCAGCAAATTTTTAAGCTTGAGACTACAATAATATGAGTCATACATTTACTTATTAATCAACTATTAAACATACAAAAAGCCATTAAATACTCTGCAGCTTCTAGTCTAAATGATAAATTTATAAATAATTACAATATATGGTTCTCATAATTACAAATTTAAAATTTTAAAGGGGTTTTGGGGTTTTGGGGGAATAATTAGTATGAAGAAGTAAACTGATTGCTG